CTGATCAATAATCAAGATCTGTATTGTAATAACAGGTCTTACTTCGTCGACTGCATCAAATCACTTGAGTCCCTTGATTAAAAACATAAAAAGATTTAGAAAATATTTGTTCACGCCAAGTTGGAGGTACACATGTTTTTAAAATCCTGCAATCGACCAATATCTGCACGGCAGTTGATGAACCTGATATCGATTTCATTACACAATTTTGATTTGACCATGCATAGACTTGTTACTGCAGACAAAGTATAACTCCATAATTCCAGCCTTGTTCAGCTCTTTCCAGACATGTGGTTGATGCAACTTAATTAGTTTTGGGGAGAAAACAAGTTGTCCTTCCAGAATTTCACAAGTCTAAGGACTTAAAAACATATTGGCCATGCAGGAATCTTGATGTTGTATTGTTTTGTGTAGATGTCTGATGTCTGAGACACTCACTCACTCACTTTAGGCTTACCACAATTGAATATCTGTCACTGCTGATGCATCATTATGCAACATTCACTAATTCACTTACCTTTGATGGCTTGATTCTTGTCATGGAGGCATTGGTGGCCCAGTCATCTAAGGCACTGCAATTCAGTATGCAGAGTTGCCTTTATGGCTTCAAATCCCATATTTGCCCTGATTATGATCATACTGGTTTGTAAGCAACATGTTCTTTGGTTTCGTCAATGATAATTCATGATATGACTGACACACTGCGATATAACTGACACACCCTGATATGACTGAAATACTACAGCATTAAACCCAACAACCACACATCATTGATATGGTATTGCAGTAAGATTTATGTGTTTTGTTATCAATACTTGTAACCTAGATACAGATGTACATTCTACAGTAACACATATAATCACAACCTCAGTTTGTGCCACATCAAACATCCATTAGTGTGTTGATCATGTTATTGATGACAAGGTACATAACTGTTATGGTAGAGAGGCTATAAAGTACACACATGCTACACAAGCATGGATCAGGGAAGGAAACTATACACCAATCCTCCTCGGTCTGAAGTGAACTTTCACATTGAGATACGGTCTGACCAAGTCTTCCTTATTTGATAGGAAAGTCTACCATTTGTCTACCTACAGGTTAGTTAAATATTTATATAAAATAATAGCTAAAAAAATAAGAAGCTTTTGGGGTCAAGTAAAGAAATTGTGAAGGATGTTTAGTATTGTTTTTTCAAACCTCTGTTTATAAGAAATTATGTTTTATTTGTGTCTCAAGATTTGATTTGAAGAGTATTAAAACATAACCTTATACCATGTATAGTGTTGTAGTATACTGTTATGTCAAGACAAAACACTTAGAATAATATTCTGCCTTCTTTTGTCATTTAACTTTTGCTATTATATGTTCTACAAGTCCATAGGTGTATGAACCATTGTACAGGGAACTGTCAACTAATTTGAAAGTTGGAGTGATGTTTCAGACCCTCCAGGATAAGGGCTCCACGGCATGTCAGTGTCTTAAAGGATATCCTTTCTTCTCAGTTGTCATGATGTGTCATAAGGCTCTACTCAAGAGAGATTCATAAGGCCCTACTCAAGGGATATTCATAAGGCCCTACTCAAGGGAGATTCATTAGGCTCTACTCAAGAGAGATTCATAAGGCCCTACTCAAGGGAGATTCATAAGGCCCTACTCAAGGGAGATTCATAAGGCCCTACTCAAGGGAGTTTCATAAGGCTCTACTCAAGGAAGATTCATAAGGCTCTACTAAAGGATTATTGAGGCCCTACTCAAGGGAGATTCATAAGGCCCTACTCAAGGGAGATTCATAAGGTCCTACTCAAGGGAGTTTCATAAGGCTCTACTCAAGGAAGATTCATAAGGCTCCACTAAAGGATTATTGAGGCCCTACTCAAGGGAGATTCATAAGGCCCTACTCAAGGGAGATTCATAAGGTCCTACTCAAGGGAGTTTCATAAGGCTCTACTCAAGGAAGATTCATAAGGCTCTACTAAAGGATCATTGAGGCCCTACTCAAGGGAGAATTATTAGCCTCTACTCAAGGGAGATTCATAAGACCCTTCTCAAGGGAGAGTTATAAGCCTCTAGTCAAGGGAGATCCATAAGGCTCTACTCGAGGGAGATTCATAAGGCCCTTCTCAAGGGAGAGTTATAAGCCTCTACTCAAGGGAGATTCATAAGGCTCTACTCAAGGGAGATTTATAAGCCTCTAGTCAAGGGAGATCCATAAGGCTCTACTCAAAGGAGATTCACGAGGCTCTACTCAAGGGAGATTCATGAGGCTTTACTCAAGGGAGATTCATGAGGCTCTACTCAAGGGAGATTTATAAGCCCCTACTCAAGGGAGATTCATAAGGCCCTACTCCAGGGAGATTCATAAGGCTCTGCTCAAGGGAGATTTATAAGCCTCTAGTCAAGGGAGATTCATAAGGCCCTACTCCAGGGAGATTCATGAGGCTTTACTCAAGGGAGATTCATGAGGCTCTACTCAAGGGAGATTTATAAGCCCCTACTCAAGGGAGATTCATAAGGCCCTACTCCAGGGAGATTCATAAGCCTCTAGTCAAGGGAGATTCATAAGGCTCTACTCAAAGGAGATTCACGAGGCTCTACTCAAGGGAGATTCATGAGGCTCTACTCAAGGGAGATTCATGAGACCCTACTCAAGGGAGATTCATAAGACTCTACTCAAGGGAGATGGTTAGTGCAGTGGTTACCGTGACCTGATCTCTGTTCCTTGGATGGAAACTGAAAGCATGCAATCATTTTCTCTGTTTCTTTGTACTTTATATTGCTCTGAATTATGAAAATATATTTGATGAAACCATGGTAACGACAATTAACATTAATGCTGTGAGGCAGCTGAGGAAGTTACTGGTGTACGTTTCCGTGTGTGTAAGTGGGACTGGGTGTGATCTGCAGGCTGTGGAGACATTCCACACAGTACTTTCAATGGCTATGTCAGTATGTGATTGAAGGGTGTTCATATATGTATCTTTGTGGAAGAAAAGGGTATTTGGAGGTAAGAATAGAAAACAGATTTGCAGAGAACTGTCATCTAAATGCAGCCTGTAGCTTAGGTCACAAGTCTGAACCCCTAACCTGGTAAAATTACTTACTGATAATAGCTCACGTGTTAATTGAATAGAAAGTATGCCCCAAAGACTACTTTGGATTGTAGAAAAAATTCCCCCTCAAAGAATATTAATGCAAATAATGTGACAAATAAACTGATGAGATTTAATTCCCAGTCGAAGTACCGGTACACGTGTGTGTATTTGTAAAACAATTACGTTCATTGTATCCGGCTGCAGTATTTTCCTGCTTAGATAATTTGTTGAACAGAATGCCTCTGTGGTCTACCTGGTCTAGTGGTGGAGCATCTACCCGGAGAGTGGAAGGTCCAGTGTTCAAGCCCCAACTGGGTCATACCAAAAGACGTTAAAAGTTGTTACCCTGTCTGGAACTCAGCTAAAACAAGGACTGGTCAGCTCGGAGTCAGTATACTGTTTGAGGTATTCATGTTAAACTGCGGCATGGTATCTCAGTTGGCTAGCAGTTAGCCCTGCATTAAACCCAATTTCATCTCGCCTATTTGTTGAACATGTAAAGAACATGATAAGAGCTGGTTTAGGGAACATTTTGCAGAATTCGTCATTCACACATTTTTATGCCAGTTGGATGCTAATTGAGCGTGTTGTTGAGGTCAGTGCTCAGTGTGAAGGCATTCCTTGATTCATCAGAGATTACCTGTGAAGCAGGTTTGTCACTCAGCAGTGCCCTCCACACTTAAGGCTTGTAGATCGGTATGCAGTCTGGTGGACAATCCCTCATACCTACCTGTAGCCCTGTAGGACATCACATACCATACTGCCTATTCATTGATAAAAGTGCACTGTCACAAATTTTATTCTTGCAGTGAATTTCTGTTATTATCAAAACATCACCCAAAAGAACAATTCTGTCATAATCTGATCTGAAGCATGTAAACCTGAGCCAGATTGTAAATGTGATTCAGTGTTTGAAATGAATCAAAGTCAAGGGTCTTTGTGGTTTGTTAACCATTGTTAACCATTACATTTTTCACGTGTCTAGTTTCATGTTTTTGATGTGGGGAATTGCCCCATCAGCATTATGGCAACATGATGGGCAGTACAGGGAAAGTTATTCTCAGGTGATGTTTATTTCTGTGTGACATACTTGTACACAATGTAAATCAATATGATCAAGTCCTATGCAGACTGTTGAGGGAAATGGGCTGGCAACAGTTGTGAGGCTGTCACAGTGCATATCTGATCGGCAGCTGTATATGTGCAGGGGCTAGTGATGTAAGTCGGTATGTGTTTATATGTATCATAGTCATGATAGTGTTAGGCTAGATGTAACCACGTCACTCATGTCACTTGCGAGGCTTGTTCTCTCTGATATTTCAATTGTTGATTTTCATTTCAGTCATATATGTAGTGTATAACGTGTATATCTGTAGGGATGTGTATTAAATAAATTTCTCTTCAAAAAAGAAAGAAATGTTATTGTCATCAATTTTGGATTAACCCCTGTGATTGTACAGTAAATACCATGGACATGTCTTATCAGTTAATTAGAACAGATGTGGTTAAAACACAGACCTATATATATCATGTATATAGGTCCGTGGTTAAAATTAGCTAAAAATAATCAATAACATAGATATATGTAGTTGTTTTCCTAGAAGTAGGTGTGCATGATGTGGTATTAACCAAGAGATGTGCAGGGACATGAGGTTCATGTGATGTCAGTTTTAAATACATGTGTCTGTGATGGTCGCAGTCTGACCACAACAGACCAGGTAGCTCGGTTGGAGTCAGTGTGACACAGCATCATATCGAAGTCGTGCACACACACACACACACACACACACACACACACACACACACACACACACACACACACACACACACACACACACACACACACACACACACACACACACACACACACATCTAGCGTTGATTGATGGATGTATATAGGTGGCGTGCCATGTGCATACTTCGCTGTTGACCAGTCCACATCACTTCCCTGGCCGGACCAGCCACTTGGGCCACGTTCAAACAAGCAGTCTCCCTACGTACAACACTTGGTGTTTACAATGACTGTATCATTCCCACACAGTGGAATTAGGGGAGCTTAATTCACCTTCTCTTATGATGCTGGATTTGTGGATACTGTTTTGGATAGACTAAGGTGGTCCTCGTCCAGATAACAGCTAATGGGATGTACAAATCAGGAAGTTCACTTGGACTGAATGTAAGTGTACATGACATTATGCATGGTGTCATGGTTGGTTATGTTGTATTTCTGGACTTGTGTCCTTGGATATTAAGTTGTAACTAACTATTCGTTAGCCTTCAGGACCTGTGGACAGACACATTTGCTGTCCATGTAACCCTGAACTAGATCGTTTGTGGTTGAGGTTAGTAAGATAGGATGTTAGTTCTGACCTTCATGTTCACACACAACTTTATCATGTTAATGAAATGTTTGAAACATTAACTCTTTAATATTTTCACATAGTTATGTTAAAAATCAAATTTTCTGTGTAGGTACTATACAAGAGGGTTAATGGTGTTCTCTGTGGGGCCATGTTTTTATTGTTTGTTGTTAAATGGCATAAATGTTGCCTGCCCATCTTCAAAGTTAACTCCCTGCATTGTAAACATTATTAATATTGAAATATCACACAAAAATATTAGACAAATTGCATCTTGATTCTGTTGAATTAATGCAAAGACTTACTTGAGAATCTACGAGAATTATGACAAAATTGAATACGTAAATAGACATAAAATTATCTGCCAGATAGTTGGGCAGGTGGAGGAAAATTTCATGCATCCCAACAGAGAATTTACTAGCCACGGGTAGGCGGGCAGGCAGTATCAGACACTGATGGCAAACACTGTATGTTGTCGGAATGAACCAGTGCTCATCTTCCTGAAATGTGAAGTGACTTGAAGTGCAACACATGGCCTAGATTAAGTACTCTACTTCTGACAATGTCTGAGTACTTCAGTTATTTTGAAATATTATATAATCCTCATTATGATCATGTTGCTATGACAAGCATCTATTCATCATGTTCATGGGATGGATTTGAACAGATCATATTTCATTGCAGGCTTTTTCCACTTGTGTTATGAATGTAACATTGTTGATGATTGTTCACTTCCGGTGATGAAGTGTATTGTTGATGTTGTGAGGACCACCATGTAGTGTTTACAGTCTTGTTGAAGTGACTGCGATTATCATTACACAAAGATGTGGAGCTGGCATGGGATGGGTCAGCCCATCATGTGTATCAACTTTATTAATACTGTGATGAGTGATTGGGTCTTCTTCATAAAATACACCTGTATCAAAATGATGATGTCTATTGTAGATTAGGTTTTCACTGACAACTATATTTGTACTTTACACTTTCTACATTCCATGGTGTAAAACTGATATGGACAAGTCGTGGTCACTGTGACACAGTCAGTATGTATAGCATTTCTTGGCATGCATTTTACATGTGTTCATAGTTTGGAATTCACAGTTTCCCAACCACAGGTACATAAACTGATCATGCTGGTACACTCCTGGACCCAGATAGCCCACCAAGGTACATACACTGATACACACCATGACCTAGATAGCTCTCCATGGTACATACACTGATACATGCCATGACCCAGATAGCCCACCAAGGTACATACACTGATACACACTATGACCTAGATAACCCATAATGGTACATACACTGATACACGCCATGACCCAGATAGCCCATAATGGTACATACACTGATACACACCATGACCTAGACAGCCCACCATGGTACATACACTGATACACACTATGACCTAGAATAAGATAGCCCACCATGGTACATACACTGATATCAACTGACATTATTGAAGGCTCTGTCCAGGAGGTTAACGTAGTGTGACACATTATCCTATCATAATTGATGTTACTATCATCAACAAGTGTTTTTAAGCCAACTCAGTGCTGACAATTTTTAATATTGGCTAGTATTATACACAACCACCAGTGATGACGTAAATCCTGCTGGGGTATCATGCAGGAAGCCAAGGTACTGTAAGTCCCCATGATCCCAAGCGAGGTGGCCTAACTGGTCAGTGGTGGCCTATAGCCTGTGTTTTAAAACTGTATTATATTGTTATGCTCAAATATGTTTCATAAATTGTTTTTAAAAATAGTGTGCATGAATTGATTTTAAATATTACTTTGCATAGATGACTCAATTGTAAACATATTAAACTTGGTCTCATCGCTATATGGCTGGAATAATGCTGATGCGACATTATATTTTAACTCACTCACTCACTCACTCACTCACTCACTCACTCACTCACTCACTCACTCACTCACTCACATACACTGATACACACCATGATCCAGATAGCCCACCATGGTACATACACTGATACACACTATGACGTAGATTACGATAGCCCACCATGCCACATACACTGGTGCACACAATGACCTAGATAGCCCACCATGGTACATACACTGATACACACCATGACCCAGATAGTCCACCATGGTACATACACTGATACACACCATGACCCAGATAGCCCTCCATGGTGTATACACTGATACACACTATGACCTAGATAGCCCGCCATGGTACATACACTGATACACACCATGACCCAGATAGCCCACATGGTACATACATGAATACATACTATGACCTAGATAGCCCACCATGGTACATTACACTAATAACACACTATGACCAAGATAGCCCACAATGATATATACATGATATACACACTATCACCAGACCCAGATAGCCCACATTAAATACACTGAGTACACACACATAGCTTAAATAAGTTATACATGTACTGTATTATACCACAGGAATATACCATGATATGCTGTACAATTTTTTTTTTTAAATTATTCACCCATGTATCCTATGAAGTCTTCAGTAATCATAGGATCCATGGATCAATAATTTTATATTTCGTTCAGCTACATAATGATTGCTGCTGCCAACCATGCATGGTTAGAACTTAGATATCATTCGTCATACCCAAGTTATTGCAACTTGTTTACTTAAAGTAACCCGTGGTAGAATAGGTCTTCAGCAACCCATGCTTGCCGTAAAAGGCGACTATGCTTGTTGTAAGAGGCGACTAACGTGATCGGGTGGTCAGGCTTGCTGACTTGGTTGATGCATGTTATTGATCCCAATTGCGTGGATCAATGCTCATGATGTCAATCACTGGATTGTCTGGTCCAGACTCAATTATTTACAGACCACCGCCATATAGCTGGAATATTGCTGAAAGCGGCGTTAGACAACAAACAATCAATCAAACAATGTATACATAAAGTAACTAGATTTAAGAATAAATCAACTATTCCCTCTTGATTTTCACTTGTTGAGGTATAACAGAATAGTGTCTGTCTATCCCTGCCATGGTACATACACTGATACACTGCTTGACACAGAGCTCTAGATCAGAGCAAGCTGTGTGCTGACTGATGTGAATCATATCAAGCCTACAGATCAAAACAGTTAGCCATGTGGTCATGTGAGGTCTATGTTCAGGATACCTGCTGCTTGACTCGCATTCCTCCTGCATCATTCCAGATAGTGTGTTAAGATGACTCCAAGAAATGGGGATTGTGTTACACCATGACTGAGTTCATCCTTCATTCATAACACACAGCTGTGTGCCATTACAACCTCAGCAACGCAGAAGTTCTTGAGTGTCTATAACTTGGTAAATATAGATCAATGGCCTTGTGTCTTCTGTGTGTCGTAATAGAGACAGACAGATGTATTTGCATGATGATCATTTATGGAATGTTTTGTTTTGGGTTGTGTCGGTCATCAAAGTGCACCCATGTTCGCAGGATGATCCAACTGATATTTGTGTCAGTGGTTGTTACAGTCACATGTTGTGTTTATCCTTCCTGTGCCAAGCTAGCATGACAAGTATGACAGACATGAGTTTTGTCTTGGCTGTATGTTTATTGTGTTTGTCAGGTGATACATGTCAAGTACAAAGAGTCAGTGGTAGTTTCAGTGGAGTCACTCAGTGTTTCCCTGTTACTGAGTGTAGCTGTACACTCACAGAGGGTGTGGTCGTGTGGGATGTTTAGCACAGCTGTAGATGAGGAACTCCCATGAAGAAACTCTGAGTGTTGAAGGGTTCTGTTTCCAAACACATGATTATGTTGATTTGCGTTAAGTTTTATATTTTTATTTATGACACTATCTAATACCTATGTTATAGTCCAAGACAAATAGTCATGCATGAAACATATTTACACTTAATACTCAGTACTATTCTTTTTACAATGTTCCTGTCATTGTGAAATTTACTTAACCCGCCTCATGTTAGACTGACATCTAGTCTCTGAAATGAAAATATTTTACAGATAAACAATTGTTAAATTATGGTTATAATAATATCATAAAAAGGAGCCCAGAGACTCTCTCAGACTTTCAGAGTCATCTAGACTTGCTGACATATTATAGACTTGCTTGGGCTGTATTGGATATATTTGTTTCAGGGTCTCTATGACAGACATACCTCAGGTATAAGCATGACAAGTGGGGTTTTCATGGAAGAATACAAATGTTAAATATACACATTCATAGATCTAATAGACGTGTTTTACCTATTTACTTGATTTGTGGTCTGCCATCACTTACCTGGCTGTTCAGAACATACCAAGGGAGTGAATATTTATCAGTACCAGGTATCATCAGATGTATTCTTTTGTTATGTTGTTAATATTAAAAATGGCATATTTCAGTATTTTTCTAGCAGTAATGATTGTTTTTCCAGGCCAACACTGATCCTGTGCTTGTATTGACTGTCTCCGAAAGCTCAGGATTAGTTCTGCAAATGTCTATACACAAGTCAGAAATTAACTCCCGTCAAATGTTATTGCTTGGCATATAAAGGATACATTGCATGAAGACAGGCTAGCAGAATACTGGCATATGAGCATTCACATTTCTCGTCAGAAATCCTCAGAATGTGTTTTCATTAGTAGTAGGATGATACAGAGGTCTGATGGATCGTGATTTTTACTTCTCTATACAAGCATCGATCACAGTTGCACACGTAGTAAAAATATATAAATTCTTACCTTAAATATTTGATTTAATAATTGTTACACTAAACACTAATTAGTGTGTTCTCTGTCATTGTGTGTTCACTAATTAGTAGTGAAAAATAATAGTGAAAACATAACTATTTTCATCGATT